CTCGACGGCTCGATTCGATGAGGAAGGACAGAGGGCTGGGGGGGGGGGGGTCGTACCAACTCCCAAAAAAGGGGGATGGGGTCGTAGAGAGTCGACTAATATCCCCAAACAATGATGTGCCCTGATCTTGAGCTCGACACAGCTCGTGGATGGCATCATTCTCTCTGACCGTTAGGAGATGAGATGGAATGCTTGCTCATAGAGGAACACTCCAAAAATATATTGCAGAGGGTATTCTATACACCCTGTTGCCCTGTATGAAGTCAACTTTGACGATTCACCTTACGAGCTAGGTGTAATTTTTTGTTTACTGGGTCCTTTACAGATTATCCAAGCTTTGAAGAGCTTGGCAGACGGATATTCCGTATGGCTACTCCAAAGTTCATACACTGAAATCCGTCGTGATCCACCGAGTACGTGCTGTTCGGTTTAGGGGGAAGGGAGCAGACTTTGCACTTCCGCTAGTTTCCTTGCGCCTTGTTAAAGTGCACGCCTCATCTTGGTGCTCTTGTCAGGTGTAAAGGTAGCTCATGCTGTCTCATAGCTTACCAGAACTTTGCAGGTCTTCACAGAAAGCATCAGATGGGAACCAAAAACTTGTTCATATCCGAAAATGAACTGGGACTAATAAATGAGAATGTCCTGAAACGTAGCTCAGATCTTCGTGGAGCGCGTGAAACAGGCAAAAAGTTTCAGAGAGTCTAAAATCCTAAGAAATAGTTTAATACCTGCAAAGACGTGCAGTCAACCTGACGAAGATACTTTCATTAACGACAAAGGGTCGCGTTTCCAGAAAGAAATCTAGAGAAGTGAAGAAAAACACCATTTACCAGATAACTTGTGCTGAAAACAACTGCTGCATACGTAATCTATTGACGGCCTGTTCGACAAGTGAGCGTGCAGAATTTGCTGGAAGTGACGGTCGGCATTTAAAACTGTTGATACGCTTAGTAATCAAACCTCTTTGAAAGGCGCCACGCAGCGCCTGCTCGGTTCACGGTATTCTTTCCTGCAAGACGTTTTTACGCCTAGTCGACTTATCGTGCGCATTGCTAAACATATTTTTGAATACAATTGCACTCCTACGTTAGCGAGTAATGGGGTCCAAGCCGGCGCCGGCTCTGTTTGTCGACGGAGGGGGGGGGGAGCATTTTGCACTTTTGCTACTCCCTGACGTGTCGACCTCAGACGGGTAAATGGAAAGGTATGGACGCAAGATTCTGTTCTTAGAAAAGAGCTGGCAATTTGTGACAGAGAACATACCAATTCGGCGATTATTATTCCCACAGTAAACATATTTTCATTATCGAAGCGGATCAAGCAGTGGTGCTACGAAAACTAGCGAATCATACGGGACGTTGGGGATTTGCGGAAGGATTTTTCGTCATTTCTCATCTTCTAGGATTTTCCGCTAGCGCAGAGCTTCGGAGTCTACTGCTTCCCTTGATGCTTAGATATTTCTAGCACGAGTCCGTACCATGACAGCCCAGCTCACACATCTTAGCTGGACATGGTCCAACGGTATTACCACCTTGGCATTTTAATTCTGGCTCCAATTCAACTGCAGATTCATCTCAGCATCCTCATTCTAGCAGAGTTGAGCTGCCTTTTGTACCTCTTGCCAAGGGGGTAGCATTCGCTACCGTGAAGCGTCACAGACCTTACCACTGCTCTGTACACATGGGTACAGCATCGTTGGTGAAACACATAAAGGGGATCTTACTTTTCCAATGGGGTTGGGAGGAATTTGCTGCGTTGTTGCGTTGAGAGAAAAATTTTTCCCGGTTATCGGTTGTTGACTTTCCGCGTAATTTTTCCCGTTCCATGTGTGCTATATACCCTTCTCCCCCACCGCCCCTCCCCCCCCCCCCCCGACAGCAGAACTTCAGGGGAAAAGTGACAGTAGAACTTCAGGGGAAAAGTAGGAAAATTTTCGGGAAAGTCCGGAAAAAGTTGTAGGAGAAATTTTCCCGTTTCTTACAAGCTATACCCCCCCCTGCCCCACCGCCCCCCCCCCCGCTCAACGGAATTTTTCGAGTGAAAAACTAGAAAATAGGGGAACTTGGTAGGTCAATGTTGGGGAATTGGTGAGTCGCAGCGAGACCCTCTTTTAGGTCGGGGGGGGGGTCGTACTGACACCCCTATCAACACATCACGATGCTGTACCCTGTCTATAAAGCTTGAACTTGAGCGTTAATCCGAGGATGCCAATGGACTCGCTCCTCTTCACGAGGGCGGGTTTGCTTTG